TAATACACGGGAGGGCAGGGAGCAGATACAGGCTGACCTGGACAGGTTGGATCAATGGGCGGAACAAAATAGGATTGAGTTCAACAAAGAGTGCAGTACCCTGCATTTATGAGGCAGGAGGAATCCCCAGCACACCGCCAGGTTGGGGCACGACCTCCTCAGGGGCTCAGAGGCTGAGAGGGATCTTGGAGTCACAGTTGACTCCAAGATGAACATGAGCCAGCAGTGTAACAAGGCCATCAACAAAGCCAATCGCACCTTGTCGTGTATTAGCAGATGCATGAGCAACAGATCGAGGGAGGTGATGCTCCCGCTCGATGCAGCACTGGTCAGGCTGCAGCTGGAGTACCGTGTCCAGTTTTGGGTGCCCACTTCAGGAGGGACACGGAGAATCTGGACAGGGTCCAGAGGAGGGCCACTCGCATAATTAGTGGTCTCTGTGAAAGACCCTGTGAGGGGATGTTGAGAGATCTGGATTTCTTCGGTCTTTACAAGAGACGGCTGAGGGGCAACCTCGAAGTCGCCTATAACTTCATCAGAGAGGATGGCAGGGAATTGGTGATGCGCTGTTTACCAGAGCACCCCAGAGAGTAACTCAGAATAATGGGTGCAAACTAGCGGAGAGTAGATTCAGGTTTGACATTAGGAAGACATTTTTTACAGTAAGGGTGGCCAGAATCTGGAACTGGCTTCCAAGAGAGGTGGTGCTTTCACCCAACTTGGAGGTCTTCAAGAGGAGGCTAGATAGGCACCTGGCTGGGGTCGTCTGTCCTCGACCCTCTTTCCTGCTGGGGCAGGAGGTCGGACACGATGATCCTTCATGGCCCCTTCCGACTCTACAGTCTATGAATCTTAACACCTAATCATCTTGGCTCCTTACACTACTGGAAGTAATAACTTCCAATTAACCAGGTTTTGAACTCCTCAACAGGGCAGAGCAGGAGGAGGGCTATGGGTGCAGCTGCATCCCTCTGCCTTATTTCCTCCAGCGCCGCCGCACCCGAGAGCCGAGGCCCCGAGCAGGCAGCCAGGAAGGGCAGGAGCGGCTATTTGACAGTGGAGACTGGAGGACATTGCAGGCCCTATGGAGGCAGCAGCTGCAGCTGCAGGTAAGTCTGTGGAGGAAGGGGACAGGGCCGTGGGTGGGGGGCAGATGGAGGCCCCAGTAGGGCTCTGGGGATGGGGGACAGCAGCCACTCCAAAATTCACCATAGCCCCCCGACCCCCCACCCAGCACCACTGCCACCCTCCCCAAGCACAGCGCAACTCAACGCCCCGCCAGGAAGAGCCCGGCATGGCCCCCGGCCACAGCCCATAGCAGCAGGAGCGGCACCCCACAACTTGCACCCCCAGCTGTGCAGCGCCTGCCCCAGCCCCAGCCCCACTCCCTGTCTCCCCACCCATGGAGCGGGGCAGATTGCGGCCCCACTCACCCCTGGGCCGGGCTCTTCCCAGTTGGGCTGTGCTGCACTCGGGTCGGGTGGCAGTGGTGCTGGGATGGGGGCTGGGGGGGCCATGCTGAATTTTGGGGTGGCTGCAGGGCCCCCCGTAGCCCTCTTCTCAGCACCACCACTGCCCGCCCCAAGCCCATCCCAGCCCAGCGCCCCACCGGGACGAGCCCGGCGCCGCCCAGTCCCTAGCAGACTTAGCTGCTGCCGATGCAGTCGAGGGCTTGGCACGGGTCCCCACTTGTTCCCTTGGAAAGTGGGTTCCCATTCTGGAAATTGCAGTGACGTGCAGGTTTTCAGGAACGCATCTACCACATGCAGCAAGGGCAGGGCCCCCTTTAGCCCTCTTCTCAGCACCACCAGCGCCCCACCGGGACGAGCCCGTCGCTGCCCCGTCCCCAGCAGACTTAGCTGCTGCCGATGCAGTCGAGGTCTTGGCACGGGTCCCCACTTGTTCCCTTGGAAAGTGGGTTCCCATTCTGGAAATTGCAGTGATGCACAGGTTTTCAGGAACGCATCTACCACATGCAGCGAGGGCAACCTGTAAACCCCTTCTCCTGTTTCAAAGGACACGGCCCACAACAGCTGAGAATATTTTTGACTCCCTAGAGTCCTATTTGAAATCTATGAATGTATCTTGTGAATCACGTACCGGCGTTTGCACACACGACAGTGCTAATCACACCTTTACCTGCATGCGTCGAGGGGCCTGAGATACACACGTACCAGGGATTGTGGATGTCCAGACGTTACAAACAAGGAGGCCTGTTGGGCCTGTGAGCAGGCATTATCTGGAGGGCTATAGATTTGCATTGACTCATGTGAACTATCTACGTATCTCCAGGAAACAAGTGTTTTTGTTCATAAAAGTCTGTTAGCGCTGGTGGGAGGTCACTGGGACGACAACGCGTAGAGAAAGGGACTGAGGTAAGCTCTTACCTTGGTCCTGGGTAAGCTTTTTCAGATAACTCTCCTGGCACATGTCCGCGAGGGGCCGGCAGGGGAGATTATGCTTAGGGGCAACCAACGCAGGTTCATGAGAAGCAGGTCCTGTCAGACCAACCTGGTGGCCTTCTGTTACCAGGTCACAAAATCCTTAGACACAAGTGTAGCAGTGGCCGTAGTCTTTCTGGACTTCAGGAAGGCCTTCGACACTGTCTCTCACACCAGTCTCATTAAAAAACTAGGGGACTGTGGCATCGACACCTACACAGTCAGATGGGTCACTACCTGGCTGGAGGGCCACACTCAGAGAGTGGTGGTGGACGGGTCGTTTCGACCTGGAGGCACGTGGGCAGTGGGGTCCCCCAGGGCTGGGTCCTCGGGCCTGCACTGTTCAACATCTTCATCAGCGACTTGGACGAGGGGGTAAAAAGCACCCTGTTCAAATTCACAGACAACACTAAGATGTGGGGAGAAGTGGGCACGCTAGAAGGAGGACTAGGGTGTGATCGGCCCTGGACAGGTTACAGGGGTGGGCGAATGGGAACAGGATGGGTTTCAACACTGACAAGTGCAAGGTGCTGCACCTGGGGAGGAAGACCCAGCAGCACACTTGCAGGTTGGGGAACTCCCTTCTCGTCAGTGCAGAGGCAGAAAAAGATCTTGGAGTCATTATTGATGCCAAAATGAGCATGGGCCGACAGTGTGGGGACGCGGTCAGGAAGGCCAACCACACCTTGTCATGCATCCACAGATGCATCTCGAGCAGGTCCAATTTATAACTGGACTATTGAAAAACACAACGTGGGAAACATCCAGTTGTCCTTGTCAACATACCTATTTGCATCTTCTATCTGTCCAGAACTTTCCATCCCCGCTGTCTTTCCACACAAGTACCTGAATCACTCCCAGGGACCATTTCCCACTAATAACATATATTTGCCTCTCGAATAACAATGATGGCTTGTTCCCTTTAACTTGCGTGGGCTTGGATCAGGCTCCAGCCAGTACACAGGCAAGTCTAAAAGTGACAAGAAATATTGCATCCAGATGTAAAACTTGAAGAGGGACAAAGGGAGACAAAATACATTGCTACCTCTGGGATATGCCTGGACTCGTGGGATTAACACTCTTCCTTCACAAAACGTGTCTGATTCTACATGGTCAAGACTTCGTTTCTGTCTCCTCTACCGACACGTACTTCTGGTAACAGACCTCCCCTCTCCAGCACTGGGTGGACTTGGGGTTTGGCACTGTTTCAGAGGAGGGCCACTGCGGACTCATGCTGTTTCCTCTGTCCCGGACATGTTTCTCCCCGCTAGCGCGTCCCAGCGCTGCTGTGGTTGGGAGAGGAAAGACCTGCTTGTCTCTGGGCTGCAGTTAGCTACTGACACGGTGGAGGGAGGATGTCAAGGGAATACTGTGAAGAAAGATCAGCTGTTCTAACGAGTTCGTCATTGGAGCCATCTTTAGACCGGCAATCAAATAATGACATTTCAGTAATTTGTGCTATAGGATCTTCTGTGTTCTCAAAAGGCAAAATTGAACTGGCGATTCAGAGCGGGGAGACTGCTTGTTTCATGACTGATGTCATGATTTTCATCTTTTGTTTCACAGGCCATGCAGAAAAATGTAGACGCTCTTCTTGAGGATTTTGGGAACATACATACATTTTTCTCAAGATACAGGACCTTTGGCTCTCCTGGTGAGGTCCTAGATATGCTCCTCAGCAGGTAAGAGCCAAGAGCTGTGGAGGAAGCTGTGATGGCCTTTAGAGGTGGGACGTTGCAAGAAATGATCTCAAATAGTTTTGAAGATGGCATACTTAAGAAGTTAATGCTATGCATGTATTTCTAACGAGCTTGAAAAAGTCAGTGTTTCAGTTGAAACCGGGTTGAAAATGCCTCCCCAGAGCTGAGTACTTTCTCAAACAAGGAGACCAATAAGGAAATTGGACTGCTTGGTTCCTTAGTGGAAAGAGAGGACAGCTGGAGGCAAGCAGTCCTCCAAACAGCTCAACACACTGCTGGGAAAATCCAGAGTTAACAAATCCAGGCTGTCGCTGTCCCTCTGCGTAACTCTTTGCTGCATGAATCGGCCTGTGCTGGATCAGGACCTTTCTATCTCGTCCCCCTGCTCTCTGCAAGTCCGTTCCTAGTGTCTGAGGAAGGCCGACAAAAGTCTGTAGCTCTCTGAACAAGTTATTGTCTCAGTGCCACCCTGCCCTGCCTCCTGCCTGCCCCTAGCAGTGGTCTCCAGAACAGGTATAAAGCATACCATTAGGCACCATGTCTCAGCATTAAATTCTCCCACAAGCATATTTCAAAGGAAAATGTGGGCAGCCTTCAGGGCCACCCTGCCCTGCCTCCTGCCTGCCCCTAGCAGTGGTCTCCAGAACAGGTATAAAGCATACCATTAGGCACCATGTCTCAGCATTAAATTCTCCCACAAGCATATTTCAAAGGAAAATGTGGGCAGCCTTTAATATGTATAGATTTGCAAAGGCCAAATTTTTCCCTACGATAGTCGGTAAAGAAGAATTCTATTTTTCCTAGCAGCAAATAATTAACATCTTTATTTTGCAACTAATTCTTCTAATGTAATGTAACACAAAAGGGTGGGCCAAATTGTACCATTTAGTTGCTGGAAATGCCCTGGTGTAGAAGGAAGCAGAAGAGGGAGGAGGACAGGGCTAAGACTTGACCTCCTTCCTGTCCTCTTTGTGGTGATATGCCACTGAAAGGTGATATCCATCTGAGAGTGAACAGCGAGAGCAGTCTCAATACTCTCACAACTTCAGAAAATGCAAGACTCCGTGGGGCACAAGGGTGCTAACTACAGGGGCTGCCTGCCTCCTCGCTCCACTCTGTAGCACCTTTGTGCCCGGCCAGTCCCTCCATTGCCCAGTGCTGCCCCCAAACTGGGACTGATGCTCCCTTTCAGCCTGGGACTCTTCTGCCCTGGCCCAAAGTGCTGTGGTCCTGGGTGCACGTGCAGATGCTGTGCCTGGGAGCAGTTGACTCTAGCGCCAAGTGCACCAGAGTTTATGGCTCGCCTTAATGTCACGTGTAGATGCACCCGATGTGTAACACCCTCTCTTTGGTGCTGGACTAAGCCAGCAGCCCTGGGGTGGGAGCAGGTCTAGTTATCACCGATCTATATGCGGTCTTCTCCTTTCTTCCAAGCCCTCCCACCTTTCCAACGACGAGGTCTGCTAATCTAGCTCTTCCATTTAACCAGATCCCCCGCTTTGCTGTCCAGCCTCACTATTAGAAAAAAAAACATTTTATTTGAGTCTCAGTGAAAGCGTGATGTAGCCATGATAGTCCAGTAATTATGGGAAAGGCAGGGATTTCTGAAGAAACCTCTCACATCTTTTACTCTGCTCAGGGTCACAACATGATCCTTGTCCCCCCAAACTGACCAGATTTGGTTTCCTCTCTGACTTGGGGAGTGGTTTTCCTGCTGCTCTTTTGTGCTTTTGCAGACTAATCAGAATAGTGATAAGAATGTAAATGAATATGACAAGGACATTTTACTAAGGCGTAGTTACGTTCTTGTCCGTCGTGATCTCTGATCACACCTGCTGGTCCTGTTACCCTGATGGGCTGTGCGGTCTAGTGGTGCTGAAGAGTCTAGTGGTGCTGCCCTTCCAAGTATGTTGAGCTTGTTTTTTAAATAACTCTCTAAAATATCCGTTTTGATGTTTAGGCATGGAAAGCTGAAGACCTTGAGCTGCAGAGGAGATGGAAGTCCAGATTTCTCAGCGGACTCCAGGGCAGTCCTCGGGAAGTAAGTGTGCTGTACAGCAAAACCTCAGTCAGGATTCAGAGGATGTGGTAAAACAAATAATCTCTCTCACACACACTCACACTCACACTCACACTCACACTCACACTCACACTCACACTCACACACAGAGCCATCCTTATTGGTATCAGCAAAGAATTCACTGTATCATGCCTACATTAATTGACACAGACTGGGATGCTGCCCCAAAACTGAACAGAAACTGTCCTTTATTTTGGGGTCAATAATTTCTGGGGGACAAACAAAGCATGCTTGTTGCCCTTGCTTCTTTTCACCACATGTTATGCAAATATGCATGTTATTGTCTGTTATGGATTTCATTTTCTATTCTGGAAATGCCGACATACTCTAGGGGGGATGTAGCCCTGATTGTGCTTGCATGTGATGCATGTGTGTATGTCTGTGAGCAGGTGTTTGTGCATGCATGTGCCTGTGTGCACATCTTTGGCATGCACAAGTGTGTGCTTGCATGTGTCTGCACATGCACAAGTGTGCATGTATCTGCATGCATGTTTCTGCATGACTGTATCTCTGTGTGCTTGCATGTGATGCATGTATGTGTGTATGTTTGCGTGCATGTGTTTGTGTGCATGCAGGTGCCTGTCCCCAAAATCCTACATGCTGGAATTTCTTAAGCATTGGTTAATTGGTCATTTGATTAATCATTCATCCTTGTGGATTTTTAAATTGTGTTTACATTTGGATGCTCAAAATGGTGAAACTGAACCTTTCTTAAATGAAAAAAGAAGATGTCTTCTTCTGCCTCTAGTTCCATACGGACCATTACTTAATTTTTAAGAGTCAGGAGTCTACTGAACCTTCCCTCAGCACATCTATACATTGTCATCTGCATGCTCTGAGGTTTGGTATGCACTGGCAGTTTAAAGGACTTGAAGGATTATATTTGATCCCCCCGTGTTGATCCTGCTGACTCCCTTTAGCTCTCGGCAGTTTATGGCTCTGAGTTTCTCTATAAGAGTGCTAGCACAGCTTCCGGCAAGTAAATTAACACAGCTTCCCACATTAAGTAAATTGTCTTAACTCCCATGATCTTGCTTGTCAATGACTGGATTTAAGCAAGGGTTCAAGTAGCTTCAATTCTTTCATTTGTTTTGGGGCAAAACAAGTTCCACATCCTTTTCTGTCATGTGCCATCTCGTCAGTACCCCAGGACTAGTAAATCCAAGACGAGAGTCTAATTTCCAAGCCCTTACACAGCATCTTCCCTCCCAGAAACAACCTTTCTACAAAGTTTCATGAATAGGGTTTTTAGTTTTCCTAAGTTTAACATTGCTCATTCCTAAGACAGTCTGGCAGGGGGGTGTTACAGAGAAAGCCACAGGTTTTCAAACCACACTACAAAATGATTATTAATACTTACCATTACACATTATAAAATATCTGACCTACCAGTCCCACCATCGGGAAATCCTCTTAACTAGGTGGCTGTGGGGTTGTGAAGTGCGAGTATGGCATGTTCTGGGAAGCAGCAGCTGTTGAGTCTGGACCTGAGATGGTCGAAGCTCAATCTTATCTCTAAGTCTGATGTTAATAAAGTGCTGAATAACCTGCTTCTCTTTGGGTTTACTTGGGAAGAAATAGAAATTAGTGGCTAAAGTAATGGCCTTGGAAACCAGGACTTCTTGAGTCTACTGCCCACTCTGGAACAGATGTGTTTTAATCCCCTATATACTTTGCTTAAGGCTTTATCAGACCCTCTGGAAACTGCAGAAGGGAGCCGCAGCCAGTCTTGG